AGTGGGGCAGTACCAGGGATTTCCTACACTCCCCCACCAATTTTCCCAGACACCCCCCCATGGTCAACTAGTTACATGCAGTGTTGCCAATTTAGTCATTGGCTGGAAATTTGAATTCAAACTGAAACATTAATACACACTTTAAAAGCACATACAGTATATGATAAAATATGTGTATCTGAAAAAGCATGATAGGTTTGAAAAGTATGAACCAAGACTAGCTTCCTCACACAGCTGTGTTTTTTATGACACTGTCGACGCATTCGTTTCAGGGATGTTGGCTGACCTAATAATTTAAATTATGATTTGCAAGCAGGGTCTGAATGAGCTCTCCCTTGACAGCTAGTGATGATCTAGGGTGGGTGAGGGGGAAAGGCTTCAGGACCAGATGGTATTTATATGAAAACACCTATTCTGCCTAGGTATCCAGCAGACACAGTTGTGTTGCCCAAGTGATCAATTCTGGCTGGTGTTGGGTTATAAATCAGTTTAGAATTGAATGCCGGGGTAATTAAATGTTTGTTGTTATTTTATAATTAAAGGGCAGCAGAACTGTGCTTAGCCTGTCCTGACTGAGGGGGTCACCCACCCTCAAGTGAACTACACTCGCTAAGCAGAGGGCTTGGAGGCCAGTCCCAGTGGAGAGAGAGGGTGGGGACAGGTGTTTTGCTTGATGGTGTGGGCTCTGCCTAAGGCTTTGTCTATACTAGGACTTATGTCAGCAAAATTTTTGTCTGTCAGGGGTGTAAAAAAAAGACACCCCTGACCGACATGATTTTCACCAACAAAAGCGCTGGTGTGCACAGTGCTATGTTGGTGGGCGCACTCTCTCCCACCGGCACAGAGCACCTACACAGGAGACCTTACAACAGTGCAGCTGCAGCGGTTCAGCTGTGCAGCTGTAAGGTCTGCAGTGTAGACATAGCCTAAGGGCAAGTCGACACTACCGCGCCGCATCGACGCAGCTGCACTGATACAGCTGTGCACTGTAGAGCATCTGGTGAAGACGCGCTATTCCAGTGGGAGAGCACTCTCCTGTCGGCATCATTACTCCATCTCTGCGAGAGGTGGAAGCCATGGCAGCGGGAGAGCGTCTTCCACTGACATAGCACAATGTGGACAGCGCTTAGGCCATTGTAACTTGCGTTGTTCAGGGGGTGTCTTTATCACACCTCTGAGTGATGTCAGTTAGATTGACTTAAGTGGTAGTGTAGACCAGCCCTAAGAGTGACCAGCACTATTTGACCTGCCTCTATCCCCTGTTAAAAGATAGAGCTGATTAGGCACCATTGAGAGTCTTTTGTTATTAGGATACCACTAGAGGTGAAATCACTGATAATCAGGCCTAAGTGCTGAGACCTGCTGTGGGACAGTGTTTCCGTGGAAGAGACTTGCCCAGCCTTCACCAGCAGTGAGGTTCCCCCACTGAGAGCTGAAATCACTGAGAGCTGGGTGGAACCTCAAGAGACCTACTTGCAGAGGTCATAGTGGTAGGTGACAGCAGAAGGTGAGGGTGCAGGGCCATTGGCAATGGAGCGGTAGAGTGAACGGTGACATGATGAACAACAGTGGCCAGAGCAAGCGGTGAGCAGCTAGAGGAATCAGCAAGGTACTTTCCCCCCACCCTCCTCCATGGGAGGTGAACTCTCGTGAAAGCACCTCTGCACTCCGGAACTCCAGTGACCAAAGACAACAACGGTGAGTGAAGTGGGGTGGAGGAAGACTTGACAGCGATGTTAAAAGAACCTTTGTTTGTTGGACTATGTTTTAGTGACTTTGATCCAGAATGCCAGATTTGTGACTGGGAAACTTATATAAATATATGTTTCCTAGTAGGCCAAGATTTTTAAAATGCATTATTTGCCAAGGTTGTTATCTCACATTGTTGCTATCTCAAGAGGTTGTTATCTTGGGGAGTTTCTGTACTAAACATTTTTATTATTATATCATAATTAATTTTTACATAAGAACGGCCATACTGGGTCAGACCAATGGTCCATCCAGCCCAGCATCCTTTCTTCCTACAGTGGCCAATGCCAGGTGTTTCAGAGGGAATTAACAGAACGGGCAATCATCAAGTGATCCATCCCCTGTCATCCAATCCACTAATCATTTTAGTTGTCCTTTTCTGTACCTTTTCCAATTCCAATGTATCTTTTTTGAGATGGGGCAACCAGAACTGCAGGCAATATTGAAGGTGTGGGTGTACCATGGATTTATATAGCGGCATTATGATATTTTCTGTCTTATTATCTATCCCTTTCCTAATGGTTCTTAACATTCTGTTAGCTTTTTTGACTGTTGCTGCACATTGAGCAGATATTTTCAGAGAACAATCCACAATTACTCTGAAATCTCTTTCTTGAGCAGTAACAGCTATTTTAGACTCCATCATTTATGTATGTATCGTTGAGATTATGTTTCCAACATGCATTATTTTGCATTTATCAACCTTGAATTTCATCTGCCATTTTGTTGCGCAGTGACCCAATTTTGTGCAATCCCTTTGTAACTCTTCGCAGCCTGCTTTGGACTTAACTATCTTAAATAATTTTGTATCGTCTGCTAATTTTACCGTCTTACTGTTTACCCCTTTATCCAGATCATTTATGAATATGTTGAATAGTACTGGCCCCAATACAGACCTCGGGGGAACACCACTATTTATCTCTCTCCCTTCTGAAAACTGACCATTTATTCCTATCCTTTGTTTCCTGTCTTTTAACAGTTACTGATTCATGAGAAGACCTTCCTTCTTATCCCATGACTGCTTACTTTTCCAAAGTCAATTTAAATTCAATACATTTTTTATGTATGTTTTTTGTTTTAGAAATCTAGAACTGTTATGTGTTTTGGCATAATTTGCATTATCCTTATGTTAAATTTGTATTATGCTAACAAAACATTTAATTTATTCATATCTGTTTTATGTGTTGCAAGTCCAAATGAAAATGAAAAGACAAAAAACAATGCCACAATTTTTCCACTCAAAGGCCTCAAAAACCAGCCAAGATAAAGAACACATCAAGAACCAAGAATATACCTATATGTCATCTGAAGGTTAAAGTGGTATATCCTATATCTGATCAGCACAAATACAGCAACCTGCTGAAGAAACAGTGTCTCCAAAACCTGAAGGCAGTTCCCAATGTTTGTCGGTCAAAGTTTTCCCATTTATTGAAGTGACAAAAGATGGCTACCAGTGCACCTCTTGCATAAAAGCTTATGAAGAAGGAAAGCTTCCCCAAGCTACAACTGATGTGAAGGGGCTTGGTTTTCCAGACCAACTTGCAAAGTCAATACTGACAAACTATGTGAAAAGGCTACAAAACCCCAATCATCTGCACTGCATCGATATGCAGAAAGCCTTATAAGCCAGTCACTGTCAAAGCCAATATTAGAAGTACTTTGAGGCTGTTAAGAATGCTGGAAACACAACACAGTTTATGCGAACATATGGCTGTCACATCATACTTTCCATTTAAGCAAGAGATACCACACACTACAAACTTGAGGCCAATGTTAAGTGCATTGTCACTTGCTAATCCTGAAGTTGGACACTGGCTCTGAACAAGACTGGCAAATGTTCACTATCTTTCTGCAAGAAACTCAACTGACTGGTTAGAAGCATGCGGTGCAACAGTGAAAGACTCAGCAGTTGAAAAAGTGAAGAACTCTCTCACTACATTCAAAAAAATTGCATAAAGGGCTGATAAATGCACCGATACAAATGGATGTCAAGTATTACGTCATTGCATACATTATCTTGATGCCAGTGGTAGGCCAGTAGATTCATTTCTAGATGTTCAGGTTATAGAAGACACATTGGCTGCATCTGTGACAACCCATATCTTAGAAGAGTTAAATACTTGTAAATTGGACCCCAAACAGATGGCTGCTTGTGCATTTGATGGAGCTGCAAACTTCTCTGGAAGACATAGTGGAGTACAAGCTTTGCTCAGAGAAAAGTGTAACCCTAATCTCTCCTATACACGCTGCAGAGGCCATCTACTCCAACTAGCACTAGTATGAGCGCCAGACTCTTCAAAAGACATTTAAAAAGCCATAAATGTAATGTCTTCATTATACCCTTTTTTCAGCAAGAGAACAAAAAGACTGAACCTCTTGGAAAAAACAGAAGGGATTGAAGTTTAAATTAGTCCAACCTGAGAAAACCCGCTGGCTTTCTCATGGGTAATCCTTGGCTGTTGTCTTAAAATTACTGCAATCGTGACTCTCCCTGCTTGCAGCAGTCTCTCCCAGCCGGTCATTCACCTGTCACCCATGCCTCTGCCTGATCATATGAACGAACTAATGAGCATATCAGTTGAAGGAATGGAAGTACTGGACACAGGAGAAGCCACTGAAGATGGACACACTGTATTCAAAAGTTCCTTAACAGAGTTGTGCAAAATTGTAACACGAAACCAAGAAGGATGTAGCTGTTGTGCTTCATAGCCAGCTTGTGGAGCTAACTTTAATATATGCAATGATTTTAAAACAGGAGTTAAAATTAATGAAAAGGTCACGAAACGTTTTTCAATTTTTGCTATGGTGCCATGACTACAGCCCACCTTCTCCCTCCTGCTCTCGCCCCCGCCCCAGTTTCAGTTCCTGGGGGATACACGGGGCAGTGCCCCTCTAGCCAGCAGCGCGAGGCAGTTCAAGGGGGAGAGGAACAGGGCCCCTCCAAATTAGCAGCGGGGAGCTGTTCACGCGGTGCACTGCCCGTGTCCCACCCGCCTGCCGGACATGGAGGAGAACAGGGCGGGGAACCCCACGCGCTCCTCCAGGCTGCAACCACAGACCCAGCCACGATCGCGCCCGCCATAGGCTCAGCGGGGCCGCCGGGCTCCACCCTCCGAACGCTGTCACTCCCAGCTGGGAATGACCCGGCCGCCATCTATTGGCTATGCAAATGAGAGAACGGGGGCAGCACCAATGAGCAGCGGCCACGGCTGGGAACTCGGGGCCGCGTGGGCAGGGTGGTGGCGGGGGGGGGAGCGGATTGTAGGGGCCGGTTGCGGGGAGGTCGCGAGCCCGCCAGCGAGACACGGAGCAGCCCAGTCACCATGGGGATGTTCGGCGCGAGCGGCCTCTTGCTGGGTAGGCGCCCTGCGAGCGCGGGCTCCGGCCGGCGGGCGGGGGCACGGGGGGAGGCCTGCGTGGGGCCGGCAGGCCGGGGTCAGGGCGCTCCCCTGGGAGCTGGTTGGGCGGTGACCCTGGCGGAGGCTCCATCGCTGGCCGAGCTCCCTGCTCTGAATGGAGCCGTGAGACCCTTGGCTCGGCACGAGCCCACCTTGCCCGGGGCCCTGCGGGCGCAGCGCGGCTGTCGCTGCCTCTCGGGCCGGGGGCCAGCGCTGCCGGGCCGGGGGGGGGGGGCATTGTGGAGAGGGGGAGGCTCGCGGCCGAGTCAGGCCTCCCTGCTCGGTCGGTGGGCGGCTCCTGGAGAGCCCACGCGGGAAGGGGGGGCCGTAGCGCTGCAGTGGGCTGTGTGTGTGTGCTGGGGCGGGGGGGTCTGAGTAACTGGGGCACAAGCTGAGAGGGGAGAAGTGTGTAACCAAAGCTACTGGAAAAAGAACATAGATTCGGGCTCAAGGAAGAAACCAACTAATGGGGAGATTTGTTAGGTTGCAGAATAATCTTTGAGGGGAAACAGTAGGAGCCCTAAATAACGAAGAGTCCTTGTGGCACCTTAGAGACTAACAGATTTATTTGCCTAAATGTGTTAGTCTCTAAGGTGCCACAAGGACTCCTCGTTGTTTTTGCTGATGCAGACTAACAGGGCTACCCCCTCTGAAAATAGGAGCCCTGTTCCTGAAGACATTCTAAAATTAGGCCTGGCAAATAGCAAGAAAGAATCCTGCGCTTGCTCCTGGGGGAGTGGCCTACATGAGCCAGTGGTGAGCCTCTTCCATCCTTTCATAGAATATCAGGCTTGGAAGGGACCTCAGGAGGTCATCTAGTCCAACCCCCTGCTCAAAGCAGGACCAATCCCCAATTTTTGGCCCAGATCCCTAAATGGCCCCCTCAAGGATTGAACTCAGAACCCTGGGTTTAGCAGGGCAATGCTCAAACCACTGAGCTATCCCTCCCCCCCTCTCATTTATAAGAACCCAGTTCTGTTCTAACTTGGGCCAAGCTCCTGTTGAACAACTGTGGAAGTTCATGGACTCTGTTGGACTCTGATTCTAAAAATTTTACTTCTCTGTGTATTTTCTAACCTTACCAAGGTATCCATCTATAGCAAACCTTATTCTTAGTTGAGCCACACTTTCCAATGGAGGTGTAGGAGACTATTCTCCATGCATGAAGAAGATCATTCCGGGAGATAAGGGTTCAAGTTGTGAGATGTAACATGATGCAAAGGCCAAATCATAGAATGCATGGTTATGCTACTGGATTCCTGAATTATAAAAAGTGTTGAGTGCATAACTTTGAGGGGAGGCCAAAGCAGCAACTAGATCTATGAACAGATCACTGCAGTCTCACAGATCATTTTATTAGAAGCATCATGTTGTAATGGAATCATGTTGATAAGTTGTATCATTTAACATCTTAAAGAATTGCTTATAATTGCTAGCTCCAGAGCACACAAGAGCAGAGACTATCATCCTAAGTAACACACAGGTGAGGAATTAATGATAGCTAGGCTACTGAGTACTAGTGACCACAATGTAAGTAAGTTTTAGCATGGAGGGATAAGCATTGTGAGCAAGTTTAGAAAGTGAGACTATTTTTTTAAAGGAGGATAATCAAACATGAGAACTAAATTTCTCAGACTCAGCATGTGTATCATAAGCGGCAAAATATATCGTAAGACTCAAAGCATGTATAATACCCCCTAACCAAAATAATAATTACAGGAAGGCAACCAGTATGGATAGTTAAATGGGAAGGTTCAAAATATGGATTCAGATGTGATCCTGGAAAATGGAAATCCATATTGAAACCAATAGGAATGTGCAGTTACTGTCAGGTGAAATGCAAGATGAATAAGAGGGAATGGCCAAAGAGATGCAACCAAATGCAACACAAATATATTGGAAGAGGAAATAAGTGCTGAGATGATGGCTCTCTTAAGATAGAAAGCAAAGCTGTCTACAATGTGCACTTCAACTGTTGCAAAATGATGAATCAGTGGAAATACAGTGGTAGAACACTTGAGATTACCTGTTTGTTTTTTGTAGAAAATACATACTGTGTATTTTTCCCTCTCTAATCCAGGCCTAATTAAATGAATTCTGTTTTACGTCTCCAGTGAGTGTCTTGATGCTTTATTTACATGGCTGCACATAGCTAGGATCCTGCACACCAGTGTGAGAAATCGATATTTTATCAGAAAGCATAGAATTTTGATGGGGAGAAAGAAGAAAGGGTAGAGACTAAATAAATACTTCTGTGGCCTTTTTTCCACCTCCATTACTCAACCTGGCCCTCCAACGCTTTTGTGAGTGTGTATCCCTTAAAACATTCACAGGTAGCGAGAAATGCTGAATAAACAGCACCATGCATGGCCAGGGTGGAGTGTCTTACCTGTCATGCATGTGCACCAGTTTATGAACTGCACAGTAATCAGACTTTTACAAAAATCCTTAGTAAGGGACACATGAAATAATCTGCCCTTAGGGGAAATTTCTTCCTTAGCCCTGTCAATGTGTGGCTTTTGTCATGACAGTGAAGGTTTCTATGTAACATTTATACTTCTATTCTGTCATAACTATGGATGGGCTTGTTTTCTGTATAATTCATTCAAATTGTAAAGCACATTTTGTTTTGACAGTGTTGGGGATCCTTTTACTTTGTATTATGCCCTTTGTTTTGAAAGCCCTATTCCAGGTTTGATTACTGTTTGTGTGAAAGTGAGTTTTAACCTTGAATTTTTGCTGAAGGCAAATTTCAAATTGCGTATGCGATTGTAGAAGTTGCAAATCACACTTTTGGTTAGTGCGATGCCTTCCAGTCTGGGAACAGAAAATGACTTGGAGCAGATTTCATAGTGAACTGTTAACAATTTGGTGATTAACAAAAGCTTCTGATAAATTGGAAGATCTGTTTATGAAAAGGGGGAAAATGGCAGAAATTATTGAATAAAATTCATTGAGCTCTAGTTTTGACTTCATTCTGCCACAGATCTCTTAGGTGATATAGAGTTACTTCCTGAAAAAATTTTGCTGTAATTCTACGTACAGCGTACTCAGCTCTGAGGGGAAGTTTTCCTTTTCTCTTAAGAGCAGCTGTACCATGCAGCTAAGGCTCTCTTTCACTTTCTCAATGCCTTACCTTACCCTAAATGGCAGCTGTTACTACAGGTCAGCCTGACATGCTGCAGGAGCAGTTGTATGTGGGCTGCATGTCACTCCTGAAGTACACTGGTGTGAGTTGATCACCTGTGGTGAGGGTAGGAAGGGGATGAGGGGAAGAAAGACTCTCTAGAACAGGGATCTCAAACACGTGGGTTGCATGCGGCCTGCAGGGTTCTTTCGTGCGGCCTGCCAAGCTTCCTGCACACCCCCACCCTTCCCGTGCGTCCCGCTGCCCATCTGCCTACCCCGTGACACCGTGAGCCCCATGCCACTCCCTGAAGCGGCTGGAACCATGTCCCTGTGGCCCCAGGGGGGCAGAGGGTTCTGTGCATTGTGCTCGCTTCCAGGCACCGCCCCCCTCAGCTCCCGTTGGCCGGGAACAGGGAACCATAGCCAATGGGAGCTTTGGGGGAGGTACCCGGAGGAGCTGCAAGAGCAGCACACGGAGCCCTGTGCCTCCGCCTCCCCCAGAGACGTGGTTCCGGCCACTTCCTGGAGCAGAGCGGGGCCAGGGCAGGCAGGCAGCAAGCCTCAGTGCGCACCACTGCCACCCCAGAGCCTGCACCGCGAACCCCTCCTGCACCCCAGCTCCCTGCCCTGAGCCCCCTGCCGCATCCCACTCCCCTCCTGCACCCCAACTCCCTGCCCTGAGCCCCCGCCACACCCCGCATCCTCCTGCACCCCCTGGGGGTAGGGAGGGGGCGGAGTTAGGGTGGGGACTTCGGGGAAGGGGTTGGAATGGGGGCAGCAAGGGGGGATGTCAGTGATGCGGCCCTTGGGCCAATGCACTAGTCCTCATGTGGCCCTCGTGGTCATTTGAGTTTGAGACCCCTGCTCTAGAACATGAATAAACATACTTAAGTTGGTCCCGGATTACTTCAAAAGAAACTCCCAGATTTTAAGGCCAGAAGGGACCATTATAAGGCAGTGTGGCAGAGCGGAGATCACTGGAATGGGACTCAGGAGAACTGTGCTATATTTCCAGCACTGCCACTGATTTCCTGGTGTCGGAAAGGAGTTTTCCTCCAGGTCAGATTGGCAGAGATCCTGAGGGTCCTGGTGGGATTGCCTTCCTCTGTCGAGTGGGGCATGGGTCACTTGTTGGTCTGAAGTAGAGTAAAAGGCGTCTCTGTAACTTGAAATCTGTAAATCAAGATTTGAGGATTTAAGTAACTCAACCAGAGGTTATGTGCCTATTACTGGAGTGGGTGGGTGAGGTTGTGTGGCCTGCTGTGTGCAGGAGGTCAGACTAGAAGATGATCACAATGGTTCCTTTTGGTCATAAGGTCTGAGTCTGAGTCTGGGCAAGTCTCTTCACCTCCATGGCTTAGTTTCCCCATCTGTAAAATGGGGATAATGATACTGACTTCCATTGTAAAGCACTTTGAGACCTACTGTTGGAAAGCACTGTGTAAGAGGTGGTATTATTACCTAGTCTGACCACCTTTATAACATGGGCCATAGAATTTCATAATCACTAAGGCACATCTTCCAGAAAGGCAGCCAGTCTTCATCTAAAGACTTCAAGAGATGGAGAATCTACCATTTCCTTTGGTAGCTTGTTCCAATGGTTAATCACCCTCACTGTTAAATTCAAATTAGAAACACATCACACATTTTTATCTGCCTTTAACTTCCAGCCATTGGTTCTTGTTATGTTTTTCTCTTCTGTTGTGAAGAACCTTTTAGTACCTAGTATTTTCTCTCCATGAAGGTACTTAATATATTGTATTCAAGTCACCTCTTGATCTTTAGATAAGTTTAAACAGATTGAGTTCTTTAAGTCTCTCGCTCTTAAGCCATTTTTTCCAGTCCTTGAATAATTTTATGGCTCTTTTCTGCACCGTCTCCAGTTCAAGAAAAAGAGTTGCTCAACTTTTCACCATGAAAAATCTTCTAGAGTTCAAAGAACCTTTTAGAGTAGGGATGTAAATAGCAGTTTTAAAAAAGGAACCATGTAACCGATTAAAATTTTAATCGGTTACACGGTTAAACGTTTCACCGGGGAACTGAGGGTGCGGGCGGTGCTGCAGTACCCTCACATTTTACGTGGGGCTCTGCTCCCAGGGATCCCGGCCCACGTGCCCAGGGACTCTGCCGCCGGCCTTCACCACCCGCCACCGCACCCGGGGACTCCGCTGTCGGCCCTGCGCCTGGGGCAGCAGTGGAGTCCTGGGCTCCAGTGGGCAACGGAGTTTAATCATTAACCGTTAATCAATACCAGTAAGTAAGACTGATGCTTATCGGTTAACCTTTTACATCCCTATTTTAGAGTGTTTGTTGTTGCAGGAGGTGTGACCCAAAGACTAACTTCTGGTTTGCCTCCCACCATTTGAGAAACAAAACAATACTGTAGGTGCTAGGACTCATCAGTAGCAAGGACAGAGGAGTTCCTTCCTTCCTTCCTTCCTTCCTACCCCTCCTGCTGCTGCTGTTTGGTACTAGTTCCAAATTGAATGTAGCAAGTCCTAGACTCCAAACCAGTGTAACTTGAAATAATTGAACTAAGACACATGTCCTGTTATCTTGGGGGGCAAAGATCTGAGAATTTTGGCCTATGCTGTCCTTGTATCATGTTGGGTAAGGGGTGTGGCCAGCCAACCCTCCATTTTTCCTGAGACCTGTGAGGACATCCTGCAGATCTCCAGGGTATGCACATGGAGGTCTAGCCTGTCTGTGCTGTTCCAGGCCTTCAGGTAGTTGCTATGGCCTCCAAATGTGAGCCAAAAATCTTTGAGGAGGTTTGGAGAGGCAGCATAAATTCCATCAGGTTTGCTGGAAGATGGTGGTATAGAAAGTATCTGTCACCTAAATCCATGGAGTCCTGGACACATGACCTTTACATGGGAAGGCTTCTGCAGGATGGCAAGGAGAGAGAGATGGGTTGCTGCAATTTCCCTCCCTCTGGCAGATTTGGTGTTCCTGTCTCTTTCTCCCTACTGCTAAAAGAAAAAGGGGGTGAGAGGGGGGTCATTCAGCCATGAATCTAGTACAGCCGTTGATATTTTTGATGAGAGTATAATTTGGATTTTCTTTTTGTTCTAGGAGCTGTGAGCTGCACATTCTTCCTGGCAGCTAACAGCCTATATTCATCCAGTGATGATGTGATAGAGCTAACACCAACAAATTTCAACAAGGAAGTCATTCAGAGCGACAGTTTATGGCTGATAGAATTTTACGCACCATGGTAAGGATTATAGCTCGTCAGAGAATCCTAGCACATGCTGTCCTGCCAGGTGTGCTTGTAAGAGGGTTGACTAATTTCTATAAACAAAGGACTTCCTGCTCACCCTTATATCTTCGAGGAATACGAAAGGTGACTTACTAGAAATCCTGGACCAACCATTCACTCTCTCACACAGATCTCACTTGGGTTTCAATGCATTTCAATAGCCTTGTGGCCAGCAAAATAAACCTGGGTTTATAGAACAGATTGGTGGAAAATAATTAGTCTGGATTGGTAAGAGGTGCATTAGATTGCAGCCTAGACGCTCAAATCTTTTTGCATTTATAACTTTCAATATTAACTTCAGTAAAGATAGAAAAATAATTAGAGCTGTCAATCACCATTAACTCAAGCGATTAACTCCAAACAAATTAACTCAATTAATTTTATCACAATCACAGTTTTAATCACACTACAATAATAGAATACTAATTGAAATTTATTATGAATATTTTGGATGTTTTTCTACATTTTCAAATATATTCATTTCAATTACAACACTGAATACAAAGTGTACAGTGCTCACTTTATATTTTTTATTACGAATATTTGCACTGTAGAAAAGATAAATAAAAGAAATAGTATTTTTCAATTCACTTCATACAAGTACTATAGTTTATTCTCTTTACCGTGAAAAACAGTGTAAAAATTAAAGCCTACAAGTCCACTCAGTCCTACTTTTTGTTCAGTCAATCGCTAAGATAGACAAATTTGTTTACATTTATGGAAGATAATGCTGCCTACTTCTTATTTTACGATGACACCTGAACGTGAGAACAGGCATTCAACGCCAGCTACAACAGTGCCATATGCAAGATATTTACGTGCCAGTTGAGTGCAGTTATGTAAAAAAAAATTCTACATTTGTAAGTTGCACTTTCACGAAAGAGATTGCCCTACAGTACTTGTATAGATGAATTGGAAAATACTATTTTTTTTTCTTATCTAGAGTGAAAATATTTATAATAAAAATAATATAAAGTGAGTACTGTACACTTTGTATTCTGTGTTATAATTGAAATCAATATATTTGAAAATGTAGAAAGCATCCCAAAATATTTAAATAAATGGTTTTCTGTTATTGTGTAACAGTGTGATTTAAAACTGCGATTAATTGCAATTCATTTTTTTTATTGTTTGGCAGCGCTAAAAATAATTGATTAGCAGTGTGTTCTAAATGAAGAGTTTCTCTGCGTCCAATCTTTCCCATCCTGACCCCGCCATGAAGGCATAAGGCTGAATTTGTGGTTATGATGCCCGCACCTAGCTGCCCAACTTAGCCTGTATTACTATTCTAGGCAAAGCTTTGTGTCCCTCATCTCCTCTATGAAATGTAATAGCATACTAACAAGGGTGAATCACTGTTGGGCTAACACATCCAGGTTCTAATCCATTATAACTAAAGATAACCTATCATAAAGTAACCAGCGAAAAAGGGAAAGTCTTCAGGGTTAGCCTGGGGCAAAGCATAATGGAAGTATAAGAAACAGGTCAGATCTCAGTGTATGCTCTTTGCAGAAGAAAATGTCTTTTACACACCAGAAACAGAAGATAGCTTACTGAAAACCACAGCTTACCAGAGCATGTGTATACTCTTACAGTTTTCTCTGACCTGCCTCCTGTGCAGATCTGCTTAAACAAACTACTCAGTTATCATCCCTCAGTCAGGATTGCTTGGGTGTTCTGCTTCACTGGAATAACTTCCCTTGAGATTTCGCCTCTCCTTTCTTTAAGGCTTAACAGTACTAGGCAGTCCAAGTTCTTATCATATACAGTTCTCTTGCTAGGTTGGAGCTCACCATCTCCGTTTGAGGCTAGTTTTTAGATTATCGTTGTCAGCAGGGTAAAAATCCTTTGCAGTGTTTGCTCCTGGTGTCTGCAGTGACACGGTGATATCACAACTTGGTATTCTTCCCCCCCTCATGTGGCTAGAACTCCCAACTCCATTTCACAAAATGCAAATAGCAAATGATAGATTACATTCGTATGCTGGACTCTTGCAGAGTTCAAACTTCATTGATTTCTTAGGTATTTTGTGAAATGAAGTACTTAACAAGTACTTACTTGAATGAAAATAAATTTATTTTTCCAAAAGGTGTGGTCACTGTCAACGACTAACTCCTGAATGGAAGAAAGCAGCGACAGCATTAAAAGTAAGTTTAAACTTTCCCACGCACATGCAGTGCTTTGGAGTTGGGGGAAATTGGCTTTTGTCAGCTCTCTTAGAAATTTAAAACTAACTTTAGGTCAGCCTTGTGAAATTCTACTAGCCCTGGACAAGTAAAATTCTTTAACAGGCAAAACGTCAGGTTTTTCTAAATAATCTGTCCAAGGGTTTTTGCTTTTTCTGGTAAACTTCCATGACTGCTTTGGAAGGCTGTTATAGAATCAAAAATCAATGGTTTATAATCCAGATTTCTGATTGAGAAATATTTTTCTTTCTCTTTCTCCCCACTCCCCCTCCCCCAAAAGCCTCTGAATGCCTTTAGATCCTAGAACTAGCACAGGTTGGGTGTGTGGAAATAGCTCTGTAAACTGCAACATACTAGCATTTGTTTCAGTATGGTAAATGTGACAATGCAGTGATCTGCCGAGCTTTGAATTTGCTGTTTAGTCTTTCTGCACACCTTTTTGTTTAATACAAAAAAACTATTAATTGATAACTTTGTGTCTCCCATTCCCAACTACTAGGCTGCCATGGCCCCAAACTTCCCCAGTACATTACTCACTGGTTCTTTCCACCTGACCATTATGGCTCCTGCTGTCAAATGCATTAAATTACAGTTGAAGCTTTTTAAAATTTAAATAGGGTGTTGTGAAAGTTGGTGCGGTTGATGCAGATAAGCATCAGTCCCTAGGTGGTCAGTACGGTGTTCGAGGATTTCCAACTATCAAGATATTTGGATCCAACAAGAACAAAGCAGAAGATTACCAGGGTAAGTGCTGTGTGGTACTCTTTCATGTGTGGTGTGTTTTCATGTCTCGTGTGATATGATTGGCACGATAGATAAAAAGAATTGTGAAATTGCTTATTCCATGTCTGCTATCTATAATCAGTAAGGCTATGTTTTATTCACAGTTATTTTTAGTAAAAGTCATGGACAGGTCACGGGCAGTAAACAAAAATTCACAACCTGTGACCTGTCCATGACTTGTACTGTATACCCCTGACTAAATCTTTGGGGGAGGACGGCCCGTGGATTGCGGGGGGCAGGGGCATGCAGCCTGGGACCCCCGCTGTGGGGTGGGTTGGCGGAGCTGCCAGGCTCCCTGTCTGACTCCATGTCTCCCCGGAATTGGCAACATCCCCCTTCCTCAGCTCCTAGGCAGAGGTGTGGCCAGGCAGCTCTGTGATGCCTCCGCCCTGAGTGTCGGCTCCCATTGGCCAGGAACCGCAGCCAATAGGAGCTGCGGGGGTGGTGTCTGCAGGTGGAGGCAGGGCACAGAGCTGCCTGGCCACGCCTCTGCCTAGGAGCTGAAGGAGGGGGATGTTGCTGCTTACTGGGAGAGTGCCCTCCCCCCCCCAGGAGGTAAGTGCCACCCAGAACCCGCACCCCTTCCTGTGCCCCAACCCTGAGTCCCCTCTCACACCCAAACTCCTGCTGCTGGAGTGGGGAGGAGACTGAGACTGCCCCAGGTGTGACTGGCTGGGGGGCCACCCAAGCTGCTCAGGTGGCCTCTAGGCCAGCCGCACCAGCTGCTGCAGAAGTCACAGAGGTCTCGGAAAGTCACAAAATCCATGACCTCTGTGACAAACTCTCAGCCTTAATAATCAAGTATTTTCATGTAGATTGTGGTTATTTTAGGAAACAAACAGAAAAGAACTCTGCTGCTAGTAGTTGCAGTTGAGTAATTCATCTGATGTGATGGCATGGAAACATAATAGCAGATTCCCAGTTAAATCACGCTGCAGTGCTCAAGTTTGGAAGGTCCGAGGCATTGCAGTAAGATATTACTGATTTCTTGATGTGCATGCACTGCGGAGAGGATTTATTAGAGAGGGTATTTGTTTGCTGTCCTGGTGATAGTGACCTAATTCTTGTAGAGTATTGTGTTCAATATCAATATTGCCTTGCATGTAACTTCCTTGCTTTTTAGCATTTTTGAGGAAATACACTTGTGCAACCTTAGTGCCCAAGTTAGTTGAGTCCCACCATACATAAAATGTCAGTAAAGGCCAATCCTGTGCCCACTGAAGCCAACCGGAGCAGGATTGGGCCTTGAATCTAAGCTTGTAAAATAGGGTGCTAATATGATTTGACAGTTCAGCCCTTTATCTCTTTGTTCTGCTGTGTCACAGGTGGCAGAACAAGTGAAGCTATTGTTGATGCTGCTTTAAGTACTCTTCGATCACTGGTGAAGGATCGTCTTAGTGGCAGAAGTGGAGGATATAGTTCTGGAAAGCAGGTAGTTCTGAGGGAATGGATAATGCATTATTTTTATTGATGAGGCTTCATGTCTTCTACAGCAAATCAGAGCCTTGTGCTCCAAGATCTGTGTAGCACTTGAGGGTGCATGGGATCACTTTATGTGTTCATGCTGGTACGACACTTGCAAAGTGTGTGAAAGAACTTGGAGTATTGGTTAAGCTGATTGACAGAAGATTATCTCTTTGGGCTGTTTGGCAGCACATTCCAGAAAAGCCACAAGTCTCGTTCTTAGGATATGTCCGCATGGCAACCAGAAAGCATAGGGAGGGAGATGGGCTTCAGAGCCCAAGCTGCAGCACGATCCTGAATGTCTATGCAGCTATTTTTAGTGCTGTAACTTGAGTCTGAGTCTGTCGACCCAGGCTCTGAGACTTGCTGCTGTGGGTTTCTGCTTGCTGTGTAGACATACCCATAAGGTAAGATAAAATGAATTACATGGTTTAGAAAACAGCCAGGTTGCATGTGACCCTGATGTGGTATACCAGCTGCAGCGGAACTCTTCATTGGCCAAAATGGTTTATATGGCATGTTTATCTCAGTCCACCAGTGAGCAGTCAGGATGTCTATCAGCCTTTTAGAGGTTCAGTAATTCAACTTGAAGGAACTTTTTTTCCTGACAGGAAAAAATCATTTCAGCTGTTGACTTGTAGAAGTGGAACGTTTAGGTATTAGCTGACTTTTTTTCATCTCCACAACATTCTAATGCTAAGTATTATAATAGAGTTATTAATAACTAGAGCAAGTTAAATGCTGATGGCAATCATCAAAAATATGATCAATATTTTAAAAGCAGCCTGGTTCTTTACCTTGATACATCCACTGCAGTCAGTGGGAGTAGCTTGGCTAACGCATCACATAGTGATTTGAATATAAACCTCATTAGGTTAATGGTGTACTAAAATCCTTTTTAAAAAGAAACTTGGACAATCAGTTCTTGCCTGCAGCAGATGTGCAATTCTCTGGAGCGCTCAGTGCACCACTGTGCACAATGGCCTCATGAAACCAGGACCTGCAGTCCCCTCCATGAGAAGAGAAGTCCTACTCTCCCAAAGAGATGCGTAACTGCGGCTACGTCTACACTAGAAACTTCAAAGTGCTGCTGCGAGAGTGCCCCCGGGACAGCGCTTTGAAGTGTGAGTGTGGTCACGTGTGAGCACACTCCTGGTAATCCACCTCCGGAAGGGGAATAGCTCCGAGCACTGGGAGCGCGGCTCCCAGCACTTGGAGCCTGTCCTCACTAGCGCTTTAAAGCGCTCAAACTTGCTGCGCCGGGGGGCGATTTTTCACACCCCAGAGCCAGCAAATTAGAGAGCTATAAAATGTAAGTGTAGACAAGACCTGAACGTGGAGATTTGTCAAGTTTCTAAGCACTAATGCAAGAGAGACCCTGTGGAAGGGGTGACTTGGCCTTCAATCTTTGTCTGTCTCTCCATGTGTTAAATGGGGTTCCTTCATCCCTTCCTCAGAGTTGTATTAAGGCTAAGTTCATTAGTGTTTGCAATTCTGTGGCACGTTCCATCTGAGGACCTCAAAGTAGTTAGTTAAATTAACATGAGAGCCAGAAAGCAAAACATAACCAGGAACAAGACCAGCTGCTAAGCATTAAGTGCTGCAGAATGAATGAGATTATTTCATAGTCCAAGCCCTGAAGTGGAAAATGTAAACAGAACAGTGAAAAATAAGAACCCTATAAAAGTCATAAAAAGAAAAAGAGGACTTGTGGCACCTTAGAGACTAACAAATTTATTAGAGCATAAGCTTTCGTGAGCTACAGCTCACTTCATCGCACAAGTCCTCCTTTTCTTTTTACGGATACAGACTAACACGGCTGCTACTCTGAAACCTGTCATAAAAGTCATAGGGTAACACTGTCAAAAACGCTTGGTACCCAGCCCCCATTTTCAAAAGTTACTAAAGGCCATTGACTTTCAACAGGATTTGGGCTCCTGTGTGCCTAAGTCACTTCTACAAATATGATTTTGCACCTAACTGATTTAGGAACCTCCTGAAAATTTTATACTTAACCTACCAAAGTGGATAAGAACTTTTTTAATGGTAATTTTTTTTAACCTGACTGTGTCCCTTTATATTCTGGCAGTGAGACTTCTTTCTAAAAGTGAACCAAAAGATCTTGAGCCACTAAGATCAGAGTTCTTGTCTTTCCAGAGACTATAGTGTTGCTTCCCATAGGTCTTTAGGAGTTTGCTGCAATCTGTATGCTCTGTGGGTGTTCTTAACATGGATAGCTCTAGCATGGGAAACTCAGATTGTCTGAACTTGGAAATTTCTGATAAACGTGTTTTAATTTAGCAAAGAAATGTCTAGGTACACACACATGGAAGTGATCACATCTGGAGCAGCTGTGGTGTGGTTATGTGAGGGAGCAATGCAAAAGTTCCCCCAGCTTAACAGGTTTTATTTTTGAACTACAGAGTAGCCGAGAAAGTGGAGGCGGTGATAAAAAGGATGTGATTGAACTGACTGATGACAGCTTTGATAAGAACGTTGTGAATAGTGATGATGTTTGGCTGGTAGAGTTTTATGCCCCATGGTGTGGACACTGCAAAAAGTAAGTGAAGCTGTTGGCAGTCATTTTAAATGGGTACTTGCTTGTCATCTGCAGTTTATGTAAGCAGGCTTATTTCTTGAATTGGAAATAGAACTGTCTCTCTTGTTTTATTGGATGTGAGTCTTGACAATGGTGCAAGTTACTCTTTAACTTGCCCACTCCAGAATTTACTAGGGAACCTGTGTTTCTTCCCTCCCCACCCCCATCAGCAGTTTTAGCATTTGTTGAACCCAGTCCTGCTTCATTTGAAATCATGGGCAAAATTCCCCCTGCCACCAGTGGGAACAGGATCTGGCCCTTTGAAAGTTTCTTACGTTAGGAGAGTCTTCTAATCCCAGAATTCAAGATGTCCTGAGATATTCCATGTAGTCCTTGAGTCCTTTTCCAGAGCTGCTCCTACTCTGGAGAGAGTGCATTCCTCCAGGTATAAGCTGTGGGTTGTGGTTTCACTAACTTGCCTCTAAAATACCAATTTTTACTGCTAGTAATTGGCATTATGTTGCTTTCCAGTCTGGAGCCAGAATGGGCAGCTGCTGCCACAGAAGTGAAAGAACAGACCAAGGGAAAAGTGAAACTGGCAGCCGTAGATGCTACAGTGAATCAGATGTTAGCCAGCCGATATGGGGTGAGTGTGCTCTGCAGGCTTGAAAATTCCCTCCCCTTGTTTGCAATCTCTCTAATAGGTCACGTTCCCTGGTAATACCTAAAGAACTCTTACCTCAGCACTTACTTTTAGTTCTTAGTACTAACAAATATTAGTATAAAAGGGACTTGAGCAATTCATGGGGAAATCAGTTGCTTTTCCCAAACGCTGAGAGAAGATGGAATAAATATGGATGTTTCCATTGAGAAAGTATCTTTGACTCCTGCAATTTGCTTCCACGAGATCTGGCATAACTGCACCCTATAGTAATTTACTAAGTGCCATCCTAAAATATATACCACCTCTCTGAGACTGGCAGTTTTTGTACATGGATCCAAGTGCAGCTGGTATCTCCAGCTGAAAGAATTCCAAAGGTGTCATGTTAGCTATACAGATGTGATACCTCAGGCTCAGAACTTGGTGCTTCGTTGGCTCGCTCTCCCCCAGAAAGAAGTTTCTTGATTTTTAAAGGTATTTAGGCACCTAGTGGGGTTTTCAGAGGCACCTAGGCACATAAAACTCATTGATTTCAATGGGTGTGAGGTGTCTAGTTGCTTTTGAAAACCACACTTGGCTCCTAAGGGCCTGATTTTTAAAAGTATTATGTGTCCTTCCATATCTCATTAATACTAAAATAGTTTAAGAAAGTAGAAAGAAAAAACATCACTGAGTAGCATGCGGGTGGAGGGTGAATTCAATCTCACTGTAATTCAACAGTCATTGATAATCAATTGGCAATCAGTGAAGGTACTAGAACAAACTTATTAAAAACGAGTTGTTTTTTAAGGTCCATGTGATGTAGAGGTGGCCACAGTTCTTAACAGGCCTCCCTCTCTTCCCTAATAAACTCAGGGGATCTTCACCTTTGCCTTCAGAGGCATAGAGGAGTAAGCTGGCCCTGCTGATATTTAAATCCATGGCTCTAGGGAGATCTGGTGTCAAAACTTGGACCCTTGATGCACCACAGATGCTGATAGTACAATAGCTAATAGTGTTTTTAACATGTATTGACTAACCCAATTTTAAATTGTAGCATAGACAAGGAATAACTAACTTGCCTTTTAAAATGTTTAGGCTGAGGGTGTAGCCCTGCAATGTAGTGTGGAGATCCCCTGTCTTGATGCAAAACTCTCCCTCTTTATCTAGAGCACATCATGGTGGTATTCCATTGCAACCACTAACATTCTTGTTAATTTGAACTAATAACTTCCATATTTTATTGCAGATCCGTGGATTTCCCACAATCAAGATCTTTCAGAAAGGGGAAGACCCTGTTGATTATGATGGTGGAAGAACAAGATCTGATATAGTTGCTCGAGCTCTGGATCTTTTTTCTGAAAGTGCCCCACAACCTGAGCTGCTAGAGGTATCCCTGCTCTGCAAACCTAACTTCTCTGAGTGCTTTTCCATCCTGTCTCTTGGGCCCTGCAGTTATTTTTAAGAAAAATAGTGATGGTAAAGGAAATGACCAAAGTGGTGCACGAGCAGAACTTTTTTTGGATCAAAAGTACCCAAAGATCACATCCCGGTCCATGGTGTAGCTTTACATTTTTTACAGTGTATACTGCTCATTAAAGAAGCTGGACTGACAGTCCTGAATGCTGAAGACCTTGATCCATGGAATAGATACCGTGAAGGTGGCAGCAGTATGAGCTATCTTGCCAATGTATCTAAATCCTCATTTGGAGAAAGGGGGTGAGATGAAAGTTCAGATTCCATTTCCACTAAAACCTTGGCCGCTTTGCTGAGACTCTGGTGGTGGCTTTGTCATGTGGATCACCTGTAAATGAAGGACTGGGTGGAAACCACACTCATGTCACTTAATCTAACGGCCTACAGTTGGTAACTTCTAGATTTGATTGACGTGGGCTGGATTTGAACCACTGACTTAGAAGCAGAAATTGACTCCTGTTATATAGTGTGTTGTGCTGCCATTATTTTAACAAGGAGCTTCCACAAATCTCGTGCCTTAGCCTGTGATAAAATCTGTGCTGAGGTGAGGGACTGGCCAATTGAATAACTTTGCCATTTAAACAAAAACTCCCTTCTAACTGACATCAGAGAGGCTAATGACACTACTGGGCAAACTTATACTAAGCTGCACTTTGTAGCAAAGTGTTTACGGTGTGCATGGAGAATATTAACATTGCAGCACTGTCAACGGTTTATGTAATCTGACACACATGCAAATTTCACCAGGGTTGGGTGCCTGCACCGCTTCAGTGCAATTCTGTCTATTTCACAGGAAATAAACTGTTGTTCAGAAGTAATAGTTATCTGGCCTGGCATCACACCCCTTCCCCCCACTCCCCCCCAAATCATGGTATCTTAGTGACTGACAGAATTAAAAAATGCACGCACCCCTCTCACCCCCTGGAGATTGGCAGGGTTGGACTAGGCCTTTTTTTGTTGTTGACAAACCACAATATGTCTGTCTAATGAGCCTCAAGACTAGAAGTCCCTCTTGGCTTGGGAAGATTTAGCAGCATGCCAAGTGTGGTTGGCTCCACCAGAGGCACTGAAATCACCCAACCTGTTCCCAGTTCAGTGAAATTTTTACCATGGCGATTCTGTCCGCTGCACTGCCCCCCTCCTCCCCACATGTTGCTGCTAACCACTTCACTAGCTTTTATAGTTAGCCTGCTGACAGGCTGTATAAAACTTTATTTCCTATCAGCTGAGTCTCCATTTGATCTCCCTTCACATCTGAATATGCAGCATCAACAGTATTGGTAGGAATATTCATAGGTTTGGGCATGGTGTTTCAGATGAGCATCCTGCTAGTGGACTAGAGGGAGGCTTCCAGTGTCTCTTCTGGCATGTTGCCATGGGGAAAAGTAGGTTTTTTTTCTCCCTCAAAGCAGTTGTCTTTTCAGGCAGGACTAAGTTTGAGGCTATGGCACCCAGGACTGTTAATCACCTGAGTGCTGTGGTGTTTTATAATCTGTGGTTTCTTGTTTCATTCTCCCAGATTATTGATGAAAATATTGTGAAGAGTACCTGCGATGCCCACCAGCTCTGTGTCATTGCTGTGTTGCCTCATATTCTTGATACAGGTAGAATAAAAGGAAGCATTTTTCTTTATAATGTCACTTAAGGAAAAAGAACGACCTGCCTTAACTTGTCAAATTCTGTCTGGCAAACAGGAGCTGCAGGTAGAAATTCCTACTTGGAAGTCATGTTAAAAATGGCAGACAAATACAAAAAGAAAATGTGGGGGTAAGTGTCATTGCTGGCTTGGCCACTTCTTTTGAAAAGGGGTGTGTGTGAAGGACCTCAGATGTCCACGTTAGATTCGGAGAGGTAGTTACTCTGTGTTCTGGAAGATCCCGCGTCTTGTTTTTCTGTAGAAATACATAAATACCTTGCAGAGATGGGCAGAGCTTTGCATCTGACGGTGCTATTTTGCAGATAAGCTAAGAGCATGGTAAAACGGAAAGCCCTGTGAATAGGTCAGTGGATACCTCTGTCAAATTGACTATTTTTTAAATGGGGTCTGTTTAAAAAAACAGACAGAAAACCAACTGATTTAATCCTTTTTTCACCTTGTGTGCATTTTGACTACTTAAGGCTAATGTCAGCTAAACATTGAGATTAGATCAAACATACCTCCCAGGACTGAATGTTGAAAGCAATATTTGAGCTGTAAAACATGTCTGGTTTCTTTGGAGCCTTACTTTGGTAGGCTGGTTTTTCTCTGTTGTTGTGTCTGATTATATTTCAGAAGTGCAGGCTCTGTTAATGTGTTGCCTCACATTCCCACTGTGGGCCAGCTGGCATTTTCTTTCTCCTTCTCTCCCCCTTCCTCCATGCTGGGTTGAGCCAGTGTGTCTTTCGTTTCCCACAAGCCAGGGAGAGGTCTGCTAAGGAGGGAGATGTTGCCTTAGGGCTACCTGTGGACTCCAGGTTGCTGGACATCACAGGAAGTGTTGGGGAGCATTCTGACATGGCAGCTGCTGGGAAAGAGGCCATGGGAGGGAGAGGGAGTGGCATGACAGACTTCAGGGGAGTGCTGAGACCTTTTGAACTTCTGACTGGTCTAATGCTTCACTTTCTGTGGAGGACTTGTTAAGGGCAAGAGAAACTGAATTAGCCAACTGGAGAGTGGAAACATCACACTCCCCTTCTCTGCTCAGCAATCTGCCTCAGGCATTATTCAAGGCTACAGTTTTTCTTGTTTAGGTATGTGACTTAGCCCACTGTAAGCCTTGCCTGCCTAGGTTAAAGCACAGCAATCTGTTGAAGTAGAGCAAGTCTGTAACTGTTCAACTGTGCTTAAGCATTTGTTCACTAACATGGTTCCTGTCTTGTAGGAGCATCTGTTTATAGCCACTTCTATAGTACAGACTTCAATGGCTGGGCCTCCTTTGGGACCTTGGGCTAGAAGTCATTGTTGAAGATTGAAAAGTTTTCTTCACATAGTCAGAGCATGATTCCACATCACGGCTAGATCTTACTGACTTGAATAGAGATGAGGGTCTCTGTGCAGTTTTCCGTGATGATACTGATCAAAAACTTTGGAATCTTCCTTAAACTTTATCAGTTTTATTCGGTGGGAATCTGTGCAGCCCTGTGAACAGTGCTACAAAGGACACGGATGTTTTTGCAAAAAGCAGACTTGCCAAAAACTGGTGTAAAAGCAATAATACAGTACTGTCTTCAAGGTTCTTTCTTTTTTCTTTTTTAAGGTGGCTGTGGACAGAGGCTGGAGCTCAGTCTGAGCTTGAAAATGCATTGGGAATTGGAGGATTTGGGTACCCAGCAATGGCAGCAGTCAATGCACGGAAGATGAAATTTGCCCTCCTGAAAGGATCTTTCAGTGAACAGGGGATTAATGAATTTCTCAGGTACAAACTTTTTTTTTTTTTAAAGTAATTTAAACTGTTCATTTAACTAAGTCTCTGGATCTGTGGAGACAGAACACATTGTACAATGTACATTGGCATGCCAGTGTAAATTCATTCAGGAGTGTGGAGCTCTGGAAATAAGATTACAAGTTGCTGTGGATTTTTTGTCGTTAGTGGCTTTTTTTAACTAAAATATGGGGCTAAGGGGGAGTGTCAGAAAGCATAAGACCCTGATTCTGCAGAGGATTTGCAGGATCAGACCGAGCCCTTAAACTGTAAGTTGCCAAATACTCAAAGTACTTAGTGTGGCAGTAGTGTGGGGGGACATGGCGCCTATCCCAACTGTTTGATTCTAATAGACTGAGATTGTGCTAATAATTGAAGTCCAATGCAGAATTTTCCTTTACCCAGTGTCTGAAGGTAGGTCTGCATCATCACCATTCTTCCTAAGTTTTAAAAATGCACTGTAAAGCAAAAACATTTCTGTGCTCCATGTCTCTTCCAGCCACCATCACTCTTTCCTCCCTCCACCAGATTGTGAGTGCACTAAGCATGGCAAGTTCTAACCACCATTTCAGAAAAAGTTGTTTTTGCACCTGTGGCATCCTGGTTAACTGACTTCCCAGACAGTGACTTCACCAATACTAGATGTTCATTTTAATCCGGAGTACTTCATATCGTGATTATGCGCTCTGGGTAGCTTCAGTGAATCGGGAAGTACCTGATTTTACATGAACTTTACTAGTATGAGTCCATTGGTTGCGAGCAGCTCAGTTAAGGGATTTGTCTCTGATGGAAAACCCCACAACTGCCAACACCAGTGAGTTTGTAACCGTATTCTTTCAAACCAGTTGATGCACTGTGAACCCTAGCACTCTTCTGTGGTGACGGCACAGAACAGAATCTGCTGCATAACGTACATACTTACAAGGATGTAAAAAATCATTGTGGAGGCATCAACCTAAACCAGTGGTTCTCAAACTGGGGTTCATGAACCCGTGGGGGTTCACGAAATGTTACAGGGCGTTCTTGGGGAAAATTCCCTAATGGCAGACAGAGCTGCCCTTAGGGACCTCTGGCAGCACGGGGCCATCAGCCCGGAGCCCCAGGGACTTCCAAGAGCTCTGCAGATCATAGCAAGCATATCTATCACACTGAGGAGACTGAAACTTCAAGACTCTACAAGAAATGGAAAGGGAGTGGATTTTTTTTTTCTGTTTTTAAAATTAAATGACTACTAGTGTTGTTTTTAAAATGATTATGAAGAACAAGCTTAAGCTTTGTTTTAACGAGCGTTGGTTGCCTGGGCTGCTCAAGACCTGAATGCTTGTGCAGAAGGAACTCTTTGAGTTGGCTTCTTAAATCCCTTCATGCTGTCTCACATCTGATACTCCTGGATGAAACATAGGAGCCTTGTCTTATAACAGGCTTAATCAAAGTGACACAAGGTACGAAAGTGAAGTCTTGGAAGAGTGTTGGTGTTTTCATAATGTAATGAGAAATAATAAATAGTGTGTAATAAGCACGTCATAAAAACAAACTTTATATTTCCAGGATCGCTGCTTTTATAATTTATGCTCAGGTAAGGGAGAAAATCCCTGGAAATATTCATTTTTAGGACGGGGTTCACAAGACTGGGCATTTTAGTGAAAGGGATTCACGGGTTGTTAAAGTTTGGGAACCACTGACCTAAACCAATGTTTATTAGACTGATTTAGTGGGTTTTCTATTTAGTTTTGAGTTGAAATCTACCAGAATCTTTTTTTCCTTTAAGCAGAAAGATGTAAGTTTAACCCATGACATTTAAGGTCTATTAAATACAAAAGTAATAGCCTCACAAAGCATACCAGAAAATGTCCATATGCTGATGGTCAGCATGGCTATGACAACTGTCTGTCATTTCTCAAACTTAGTAAGTTCTTGTATGTTTTAAAACAACTTTAGTGAGACCTCAACAGGTGCTGTGAATAGTGATGCCAGAGGACAGTCTTCCTAGGGCAAATATCCCACAGTAACCACCATATTGATGGGCTGTATAATTAAAGATTCATGTTACCTTACCAAAGAGAAGGACTTGCAAAGTAGAAGATGACATTATCACTTCAGCTCCGGTGTGCTGTGTCTAAGGGAACTAGTACAGTCACAGTAGCTCTAGTTAGCTCTCTTAGTGCACGCTGAGCAGGGTGCTAAACTTAAGACTTTATGTAATGTAATAGGAAGCCTGTAAACTGTTCAGCTGAAATCAGGAAAACTAAGCCTCCGAAGAGGAGAGGAGCAGGAAAACGTAGACTTTAATGAGATAATGAAGGCCAACTTCAGAATAAGTGTGAATTTACCACTGAAAAAAAAATACTGAAAGGAATAATGCTTGCTGTTCGTAAAGGTCACTCTCTTTTTACAAACTGAATTAGCAGAGCAGGTTGAGATGAATGCAGAAGCTGTTCACCCTGTGAATCACTCCGTAACTGATAAAGATTTAGGCTTCTGACTTGAAGGAGATGAACTTCTGCAGTTGGCAACTAAGAAACGTTACTGCCCATCTTAAAATAAAAACGTCGTTGCCAGAACGTGTAAACCAACCAATAATTTTGGGCTTGTCTCATCTTTACTGTGAGGGGCACAACTAGGTTAATCCATTATAAAAAGGTGCTCAGAAGCTGACCAGTCATGGCAATAAATTGTTTTTAAAAGCAACCTCCCCTGTTTATGGGTTGAATGCTTTGAAGTTTGGTTGTTGGTGTTTATCTTGGGATCTCCCTAAAAATTCTTCTTGTCACCTTCAAAGTTTTTACCGTTCTCTAATGATCTATGAACCTCAAATTAGGGCTATTTGATGTGGTGGAATTGGGATCCATTCAAGCTAAACATCCAGTAGCACACCTAATTCCCTATTAAATGTATACAAAGTAATACAGTGTGTTTGAGGTGGATGAGATTGGAAACTTCTTAAATGTTTTTGTTTTGTTTTTTCTCCCCTTCCCCTCCTGCCCTCTCTCCCAGGGAGCTCTCCTTCGGTCGTGGATCAACTGCACCAGTAGGTGGTGGGGGTTTCCCTAAAATTAACACAGTCGAGCCGTGGGATGGCAAAGATGGTGAGGTAAGAGGCACCTCGCCGCTGGGTGCATGAACACCTTGTTAGGTTATAAAGAAATACTGGACATAGGAACTGAGCCAGGGTGGACATGCTTTCTCAAAATACCTATTCCAAGAGTAAGTGAAACACTTGTAGTTTCCCTCACAAAGTATTCAGACTGCTGCTTTTTAAGCTTACCTCCATAGCCACTTGGTAATAAAGAATAGCTAGGTAATATTGTAATGCTCATTCTCTAAACTAAACCTCTGTTGAATCTCCTAGTTACAGAGACAACAGGATTTAAACAGTAGGAAACCTAACCAGGCCTACCAGATAGCTAGTTACCTGAAGTCATGGACAGTTATACTCTGCCTTGTTAATGTCTTATATTCTAGTCAATAGTATTAAATTTCAAACTGTTGAGGATGAAACGCAATTTATTGCCAACATCTGGTTATGAGGGAACCTTAGTGTGTGAACTAAAGGGGTGACTACACTATAGCACCTGAAACTTAGATGGGTGTTGACTTTGTAGTATAGTGACTTGAAACTCAGAAGTTTCACTTGCATGGGACGCAGCTATACAGTTTTCATTGATAATGAAGTCATGATAATTGAGGCATGCAGTAAATCCTTGATTATATAGGGTTCAGTGGCAAAAGGTGGTGGTGGTGGTGGTGGTTGTTGTTTTTTTAAAAAGGCGGGGAGGAGCCAAAGAATCAGTGGTGTGGCTTTGTTTTAATAAGAACTTGGCAATGTCGTACAAGTTCCAACTTTCTGGATAGCGTGTTGTAAATAAATTCCCTGGTAGAAAACACTCCCAGCAACATGTATTGTACTGGTCCCAAGCTCAGTTAAGTGGCCACTGGGCCTGTGTTGAAATGCACTAAGGGTCTTTTAGTCATGTGAGCTTCAGCTTTTTCCACTGAAGTGCCATTTAGCTCTGTCTCAGAGTAGCAGCCGTGTTAGTCTGTATTCGCAAAAAGAAAAGGAGTACTTGTGGCACCTTAGAGACTAACACATTTATTTGAGCGTAAGCTTTCGTGAGCATCCGATGAAGTGAGCTGTAGCTCACAAAAGCTTACGCTCAAATAAATGTGTTAGTCTCTAAGGTGCCACAAGTACTCCTTTTCTTTTAGCTCTGTCTGTACATCCAGACTTAGTCTTATTTTGGATGACACCTCTGTCATCCTCAGCAGGGCATTGATTTTTCAAGTCACATATTAGAACAGCGTTACAAGCACTGGTGTTCAAAAACTCTGCTTGCGGTTCCACAGCTTCCAGTTGAAGATGACATTGATCTGAGTGATGTGGATCTCGAAGACTGGGATAAAGACGAATTGTGAGATCTTCAGGAAGTTTCTTTTCTTGGGAGAGTTTGTGCAGTAGTTTGGAACGTTGTTCAAAATCAAATGGATATTCCAGTGGCCTTTTTACAGAGAAGTAGCACTTGGCCAGCTCTCTGGAACACTGCGACAGTGAACTGTATGCCTCTCAAGAAAACATTGCAAAAATTCTATGAATTGTTGTAACCAGTAAATTTGATTGTATTCTGTGTAACAAATATTTTGAGGACAACATTGATCTTTGATTACATCTTGGTTTTTACTTTGTCCATAGCATTTGTGCTTTTTGAATGTTTCTGGGGGATGTTACTGTAACCTGTTTTAGATGTGATTTTTTTTTTCATTTAGATGGAACCTGACCAGCTTCTGTTTCAATTAAAGAATAAAACAAGGTATTTTTGACATAGAGTATTTGTCTTGTACAGAGCAACAAACTAGCACACAATTAAAGCTGTCCAGGTTCAGATGACTGTTGCAAAGTGAACAGTGTATCATAAGGAATGGCACTGTAAGGCTCTTAAATTACCCTGCCACTATAAAACTTCTTGACAGTCTTTGCCTGAAGATTATACCAGACAATCTTGCTTTAAAATGCTCTTTCTAGTCTAGTCCTTTTCCTCCTGTTTTCAGTTTCTTGGAAACAACATACCACCTCAGATGGTGATCTTGTCATCTGATAGCTAGGTTGCTGCTTGAATGGGAGATTTCTAGGGAAAATGCAGGCTGGTGAAAAGTACTGCTGATTTCAGAAGGTGGCAGTTTTCCTCTGAGTTGGTAGTGAGCGAGTGACCCACCAGAGTGTGAAGGGTCAATGTGCCGCTGTAGCTGCTTTCTCTAGAGAGAGGCCTAAAACTGATACTGACGGGTCTCTTCAATGGAATCCAGGTGTTATGTCCAGCATCCTGGCCCAATTCCAACTTGGGTGATTATGTTCTGCCTTCTTAAATGTCCCCTGCATTTTCCATTGGATCTGGTGGTCTTTGCTTCCCAACTTACACTGTTAAAATACTTACTGTTTCACCCCAGGGGTGGTTACACTTTGGTGTTTGGTATAATTACTGCTGTTTGTAAAATCAATATTATAAAAAGGCGAAAGGTACTCAAATTATTCTGCGGCTGGCCCCCTCTTGTGTCAATGTCTAGCAAAGTTACTGTACATGGGACTGACCTGTGTATGAGAGAAGGAGATGGCACAGCTGAAAGCTCCTTTTCACAATAGTAATTTTACAAATCTACCCGCAACCCAATATTGTCTTTAAAGAGTCTTTCACACTGACAAGGTGATGGACTGTACCAGCTATGGATGATGATTCATGCTGGCCTTCAGTAATGATTAAATTCTAACTAAAGGATCTGGGATAAAATTTTTTAAAGTGCAGGCAGCGCTAGGTCAACGGGAGAGCTTCTCCCATCGACACATCTGCTTCCCAGGCAGGTGGAGTACCTACACCAACGGGGGAAGCTCTCCTGTCAACAGAGGTTGCATCTCCGCTCAGTGCTGCAATGGCACGCTGCATCGGCATAGCTGTGCTGCTGCATTTGAAGTGTAGGTAAGCCCTTGGGCTCTAAAGTTGTGTTTTCAAAAGTGACTTAGGCACTTGGAGCCTTTGAAAATTTTATTCCATCTGGTTTTAAGGTTAAGAGCAGGATTTCCTCCCTTTCTGTTGGATTAGTAAGAAATCTGTTACAAAAACCTGATTGTACATTGCTAGTTAACCCACTACCCACCAGACTACTTTAACTTTTGATTTTATTTTAAATTCCAGTAAAAATGATGATCCCCTCTTTGTAACTTACTAAATAAATAAATAAAAACTACCTGCTTGTGAAGCATGTTTCTAACCATACAAAGTGAAGAGACTATAAAATAGTAAAACACTTTCCTTTCAAAGTGGAGTAGATTGACTGCTTTAAATTACTGTGCTACAGATGCAAAAGAATTCTTATAAAATTATCCAGCTAAGTAGGTGCCTGCATTTTAATTTGATTGTTAATGGCTGAAGAGCATAACTCTACTGGGACACTGGGGACTTGCACATGAGTAAGTCAAGCTTGATTTTTTGTTTAAAATTTTTTTTTTTAATTAACTGTAATCAAGAAGACTGAGGTCGATCTTGAAATAGACATAAGGATAGTATTCTTGATTGCTCAGTTGTAAACCAGGAATGTCCATGCTCATCTGCAAAAGGAGACAAAGTAACTTAGGTGCTAGAAATAAACTCTATTCTGAGATACGATCACTTGTGTTTTTACATCCCTGTCAGTAAACAGAACATACTCTTACATTTGCTTTAATCAAAGCTTTCTGTCTGAGAAGTCATGCTCAGTTCTGACTGTGGATTCTTTTTGAAGTATTTATAAATTTTTTTAATTGTTCAAAACTAATTCTTCACCTCCTCCACCCTCCAGGGTGGATACCTACTAGCCACTTGTCTGTAAATTGCTCCCTACTATGGGATTGTGCTCACCTCCATTAGAATAAAATGAGGTTTTTGTAAATATTGCTTAGGAATAGCCAACAGAGGCTGGGGAGAAACCAGGGGGGCTTTTTGGTCACAGGAATTGCCACCCTGGATCCGACACGCGATGGTGGCCAGATGTTTCAGAGGGAGGTGTATGAAATATCCCATTAGGCCTCCCACACAAGATCTCCTAGCCCCTTGAGATAGCACCTCATGCTCCAGGGTTTAGGCCTATGTGATCTGCTTCCTGAGCACTGGTTTTAATTAAATTGATACAAAGTCTTGCAACTATAGTCTTGTTCAGAACTAATGGCCATAGTCTCTCATGCAGTAGCCTGAACACATACATCCAATATACTTGCTGCTGCTACTTCGTCCAGGTGTTTGAAGACTGCATTTAGAACATCTCTCAGGCGTTTTACAGACTTCTTGCTGGGCTGCAGCAGCATTGCCTGGAAATTCACCGGTAGGCCATACCTTTAAATACACAGACGTACACTTTTTGCTCTTGCATTCCTTTCAAAACTCTCTGGGAACTCTTCCTCCTCTTTCTCCAATCTCCTATCAGCCTGTCTTCACCAGCTCACTCCTCTCCACCAGTGCAGAGTGTCTTTCCCTTGTGCTGTCTCATCACCTGATCACAGTGCATGGGAGCACCCTTGTGAAGTCTAAAGTCGATTTAAACAACATGTTCTGTCCCCACTGTAGCCTTCATTTTACTCCTCCCCTGTAAATACACTTGAATAGTGACTTTCACCCTTTTGCCTCCTTCAAGCAACAGTGCTGTTCCTCTCAGTCATCTAAATTTTGTATGTGCTGGTGGCTCTAGCAATTCCTAACTCTAAAGTGGTGAGCCTTTCCCTCTAAAGTTGTCTGAACACTGCTACAGGAAAATAAACCGCTCGTTTTAACTTCTGCATATTTGCCCACTTACCTCAGGACAGATTCAACAAAAACTCTCAGGGCTTTTACGTGAATCCAAGCCACAAATGCTTCACTGAAGTTCACTTTCAGCCAGCGCAGTAGTGGCCCCTATGGCAATAAACAGAGTAACATTGCGGTTTCTCACCTTGCTTTGGAAGCAGTGATACTGGTGCTAATTCTGAACCATTCAGATTTACGATTGGGGGCCTGTAGGGTAGGAAGGATGATTTAGTGGATGGGGCACTAGACAGGGTTCCAGGCTCGTCCACAAGCTTGAGTGACCTTGAGTGGCAAGTCACTGACTCGACCCTGTGCCTCAGTTTTCCCCCTGTATAAAAGAGATTTTTCTACCCTACAGGGACGCTGTGAGCTAAAAATCCATTTATGATTGTGAGCTGCTGAGATACTACAGTGATGAGGGCCAAATCAGTCACTGGAAGGTCAAATCAAAGTGTTACTTGTTACTTACATATTGTTGTTTCTTATCAGAAGCTAATTTAATCATTTCTTCCTTTTCACATTTCAGTTCTTTCTCATCAAAATAAAATTCTCGGACCATGAACCTTAAAACAAATATATTGGCTTGTAATAGCTGCCACTCATGTAACTTGCCTGATCATCTGTCATACGCTTCTGGAATAATATGCATTTCTAAATTGCCAGCCAATACCATACAGCATGCTGAATGGTGCTGTTACCCCAGAGCAATGTGGAGTCACTTCAGCATAGCAGGAGTTATTCTCCCAGACACATTGTGCCTTAGGCGGGCAGCACCAGGAGCGGTGGTTGTGGACAGCTGCTGTGCCACTCTTGGAGAATGCCGTGTACATTCACCCCACAGAGGACAGACCCTGCTGGGTTTCCCTGCTCTCAGTGAATCTAGAGCCAGCAGCAGCAAGAGACGTGAGCAGTCCTTGCACTTAGAGAAGTGTAAAGGCTCTGGTTGTGCTTGGCTCCTGCTTCATGCAGGCCAGGGGCTCCCTGCATCCTCTCCCCACCCTGAGCAACCATGTGAGGCTGGCCCACTCTGCAGGAGCTATTCAGTAACTACAGTACCTGTTTTCTCTGGCTTTGGCTTTGAAATCATCCATCACTTTTCTAAACAGTGTCACAGTGAAGAGTCCTCCCTCCGCATCCTCAGCAATCATTCTGCAGGAAGGAAATGCACTGCAGTGAGCAAGCGTAGAGGATGCCCTGTGCTTTGATTACCTGGTTTCTGTTGCAATTCTCTTTTCCATTTACAAAACTGAATGATAACATGAACTTTTTTAGGTCTGCTGCTACTGAAAGCAACGGCAAAATATTTATTGATTTCTGCTGGAGCACGACTGGGCTTTCAGTTCTAGGCCCTCTATGACCAAGCTTCTGAACCCTGCCAGGCAGGTGGGTGTCTGTGTCTGCTTGCTTCTCTCCTATTGTTCCTTCTTTCTGGCTCCTGTTTGCCCCTCTTCTTCCTTTCTGTCCACCAATATTTTTGAGACAGGAAGTAGCAGACAATCCCCTTTCCTGCCCACTCCCTAACTTGCCCTTCTCCACTTTCTCCTGCTCCCATTGGTTCCTTCCCTCCTGATCTTCCATCTCCAAGCCTTTCATCTCTGGATTGGACCTTCTCTTCTGCCATGATCTACACTTTCCTGCTATTGGCTATCCACTGGAACTTTTACTTCCTGGTAAGTCCAACAGGGTAAGGGTTAACTAGGCTTTTGCTGCTACAAGAGACATCTTGGAAGCTGAATTAACCCATCCCCAATCAGGAAACAGTTAAATGGTAGCACTTGTGTAAGTGTCTGTAACTCCACTGGCTTTAATGACATGCCTATTTACATCAGGACAGAACTTGACCCATATTATTGTAACAACGTGTTCCTCTATTTTCATAACAATAGCAGGCAAAATAAATGGTTTGTTGAGTAGTCAGGTGTCAAGGTAAAAGGAGAGAGACCTGAATCACTAGACATTTCAAAAGAAAAGCAAGGTTATTGTAAAATAGCTCACAGAAGCATTTGCATTCATCTG